CACAACTACGCCCAGCACAACGGAGAGTAATACGAGCAGCCCATGAGCATGACGAATACGACGGATACCAGCGGCACCACTACGCCCAGCACGACGGCGAGCAGTGCAACGGTGAACAGCACCGCAAGGCTGGCGAGCGCGACTGGCACCAGCAGCACCATTACGCCCAGCACATCGGAGAGTCCTGAGATCAGCACCACATGAATGACGGGTACGACCGGCACCAGCGACTCTACGCCCAGCACGTCGGCGAGCAATACGATCAAGAGCAGCGCCACCAGTGTGACGAGCGCGGCCTCTACCACCAGCACCACTACGCCCAGCATGTCAGCGGGCAGTACGACCAAGAGCAGCACTACGGGTGTGACGAGCGCGACCGATACCAGCAGCACTACTACGCCTAGCATGTCGGCGAGCAGTACGACCGAGAGCATTACCACAGATGTGACGAGCGCGACTGGTGCCGGCAGCACCACGACGCCCAGCACATCGACAAGCGGTTCGACTGAAAACAGCACCACGAGGGTGGCGTGCGCGGCCGGTACCAGCAGCACCACCACGCCCAGCACGCCGGCGAACAGAGCGACCGAGAGCAGCACCACAAGTATGATGAGCACGAGCGGCACCAGCAGCACCACTACGCCCAGCACGTCGGCGAGCAGCACGACCGAGCGACGCACCACGAGTGTGACGAGCTCGACCGGTACCAGCAGCACCACCAAGCCCAGCGCGTCGGCGAGCAGTTGACCGAGAGCGGCACCACGGATATGACGAGCGCGACCGATGCCAGCAGCACCACTACGCCCAGCAGGTCGGTGAGCAGTACGACCGGGAGCAGCACCACGGGTGGAACGAGCGCGACCGGTGCCAACAGCACCACTACCCAGCACAGCGGCGAGCAGTACGACCGAGAGCAACCCTACGAGTGCGGCAAGCGCGACTGGCGCCAGCACGTCGGAGAGTACGACCGAGAGCAACACCACGAGTATGACAATTATGACCGGTACCAGCGACACCACCACGCTCATCACGTCGGGGAGCAGCACGACCAAGAGCAGCTCCACGAGTATGGCGAGCGCGAACTCTACCAGCAGCACCACTACGCCCAGCACGTCGGCGAGCAGTACCACCGAGAGCAGCACCACAGGTGCGACGAGCGCGATCGCTACCAGCAGCACCATACGCCCTGCGCGTCGGCGAGCAGCACGACCGAGAGCAACAGCACGGGCGCGGCGAGCACGACCAGCACCAGCAGCACCACTACGCCCAGCACGTCTGAGAACAGTACGACCGAGAGCAGCACCACGAGTGTGACGAGCGCAGCTGGTATCAGCAGCACCAAGCCCAGCACATCAGAGAATAGTACGACCGAGAGCAGCACCACGCGCACGACGAGTACGACCGCCACCGTCAGCACCACTACGCCTAGCACGTCGGCGAACAGTACGACCGAGAGCAAAACCACCAGTGTAAGAAGCACGGTCGGTACCAGTGGCATCACTACCCCCTGCACGCCGACGAGCAGTACGACCGAGAGCAGCACTACGAGGGTGACGAGCATGACCGGTACCTGCAGCACCACCGACACGTCGGCGAGCAATACGACCGAGAGCAGCACCACCAATGCGACAAGCGCGGCCGGTACCCGCAGCACCACTACGCCCAGCTCGTCGGCGAGCGGTACGCGAGAGCAGGGTCACTAGTGTGACGAGCAGGATCATTACCAGCAGCACTAGTACGTCCAGCACGTCGGATAGCAGTACGATCGCGAGCAGCACCACGAGTATGACAAGCACGACCGGTACCAGTGGCACCACTACGCCCAGCACGTCGGCGAGCAATACGACCGTGAGTAGCACCACGAGTGGGGCGAGCACGACCCGCACCATCAACACCACTACGCCCAGCACGTCGGCGAGCAGTACAACCGCGAGCAGCACCACGCGTGTTACGAGCATGGCATGGACCCGCGTCATCACTATGCCCAGCACGTCGGCGAGTGGTACGACCGAAAGCAGCACCACGAGTGTGACGAGCGCGACCGGTACCAACAGCGCCACTACGCACAGCATGTCGGTGAACAGTACGACCGAGAGCAGCACCACGAGTGCGACGAGCACGACCGGGACCAGCAGCTCCTTTACGCCCAGCACGTCGGCGAGCGGTACGACCGAGTACAGTATCACGAGTTCGACGAGCACAACCGGTACCAGCAGCACCACTATGCTCAGCACGTCGGCAAGCAGTACGACCAAGAGCAGCACCACGAGTGTGACGAGCACGAACCGTTCCAGCAGCACTACGAGTATGACGTGCACGACCGGTACCAGCAGCACCCCTACGTCCAGCACGACGGCGAGCAGCACGACCGAGAGCAGCATCACGAGTGTGACGAGCACGACCTGTTCCAGCAGCACCACGAGTATGACGAGCACGACTGGTACCAGCAGCCCCCATACGTCCAGTACGACGGCGAGCAGTACGACCGAGAGCAGCACCATGAGTGTGACGAGCACGACGGTACCAGCAGCACTACCACTCCCAGCACCACGCCCAGCGAGTCGGCGAGCGGTACGACCGAAAGCAGCACCAGGAACGCGACTAGCACGACCGGTACCACCAGCGCCACTGCGCCCAGCACGTGGGCGAGCAGTAAGACCGAGTGCAGCACCACGAGTGAGCGTGGCGAGCACGACCAGCACAAGCAGCACCACTACGTCCAGCTCGTCGGCGAGCAGCACGAGCAGCTCGCGACCGCGAAAAACACCCTGAACAAGCAGACCTTCGGCATCATGGCATCCTGATTCCTCCCCTCTCCCCATGTCACAGGCAATTGCGACCGTTAGTCGCCCTGGTCCTCCTCCTCCCCCTCTTTCTCTACCTGAATATGGAACCGTTTGTCCCCCCTGATCCGCATCGCCTTGTTATGGGACCGCTTGTCCCCCCTGATCCAGCAGGGTCCCCCTGCTCAACACGGCCCACGCTCACCTAGTGATGGGACCGTTTGTCCCCCCTGATCCCGCGGGGTCTCCCTGCTCCACTCGGCCACGCGCTGCTGCTGGTGCGGGGCTGCCCTGGCGACCGCTGGCTCCCGGGCCGGCCTTTCTTCTCCCTTGCCCGCTTCTCCCCCCCCCCCGTTCGCTACCCCCCTCCCATGGCGGCAGCGCCCGGCACTGCGCGGCCCCGGCCCGGTGCCTGGCGCTTGCACCTTGCCGCCTCGGCGGCCCCGCGGGTCTTGGCGCTGCGCGGCTTAGGCCCGGCCCTTGACAGTGCGGAACGGCAGCGCAACGTGCGTGGCTCCTGCCCGCCCCCACGCGCTTGCCACTGCAGGGCAGGCCTCCTCCCTGCAGCACACCAGCATCCTGTCAGTTATGGGCGGCAAGTTACCGGCTTCGCCTGGCCGCCGCGCCTCAAACCGCGGCTGCTTTCCCATGTTCGCGGGTTGGACTACCACGACCTGGACCTCTTCGGCATCATATATGGTGGCACAAAGTTGCGCTCCAACCCAGTGGTGCTACCCTTCCTCTCGGACGTCGCCCTGGTGGCGTGGCACGTCCTCCCCCGCAGTTGATGAGGCTGGTGTTCTCGCATCGCCGCTGACGGCACCACCACCGACTTTTCACCTCCCGGGATTTCGCCACCGGGCTCCTGTCCAAGGTGTACTTTTTCCTGCACTTCAATTTCGGCACCGCCTGGTCCCAGGGCTTCGCCCTCTCTCGGCCTTGGCGTGAGGCCCCGCCTGTTTTTGGCCTCCCTCCCTAATGTATGTTGTGCGCGGCCCGCTTAGCATCTATCGGAAGAGGTTCGCTCTCGCCCCGCATATCAAAAAGTGTGCGTGTGTGCGTGTGTGTGTGTGTGTGTGTGTGCGTGTGCGTGTGCCTGGGTGTGGGTGTGTGCGCGTGGGCGTGCGGGTGCGGGTGCATGGGTGCGTGGGTGCGTGGGTGGGTGTGGGTGTGCGTGGGTGTGCGTGGGCGTGGGTGTGTGTGTGTGCGTGGGTGTGTGTGGGTGTGTGTGGGTGTATGTGTGTGTGCGTGTGTGTGTGTTTGCGTATGCGTCTGTGTCTGTGGCAGTGTCTGTGGCGGTGTCAGTGTATGTGTCCGTGTCCCTGTCCGTGTCTGTGTCTCTGTCTCTGTCTCTGTCTCTGCTTGTGTGTGTCTGCGTGTCCACAACAGCACCCCCGTTTAGCTAGCTCTCCCCCAGCGCATTTACTCTGCCTAGCCGCCGACGCAAAAAGTGTTAGTGGATGTTTTTGCGCGGGTGAATCTGCGTGTGCGTGTGTGTGTGTGCGTGTGCGAATATGTATGTGACTGTGTTAATGCGGGAATGCGTGACTGCGTGAATGCGTAAATGTGTGCGTGCGTGTGTGCGCGTGGGTGCGTGGGTGCGTGCGCGTGTGTGCGCGTGTGTGTGGCGTGTGTGGTATGTACGTGTGTGGTTTGTGCGTGTGTGTATGCGTGCGTGTGTGCGTGCGTGCGTGCGTGTTTGCGTGCGTGCGTGTCTGTGTGTGCGTGTGTCCGTGTGTGTGCGTGTGTGCGTGTGTGTGCCGGAGTGTGTATGTGTGTGAATATGTGTTTGTGTTTGTGTTTGTGTGTTGTGTTGGTGTGTGTGTGTGTCTGCGTCAGTGTTTGTGTCTGTCTCGTTGTCGTTGTCTGTGTCTGTGTCTGTGTCCGTGTGTGCCCGTGTCTGCGTCTGTGTTTGTGCCTGCGTCTGCGTCTGTGTCTACGTTTGTGTCTGTGTCAGTGTCTGTATCTGTGTCGGCGTGCGTCATGAGGAGGTGGTCATGCGGAAGGCAGGGGCCCGGTTGGGATGAGGAGAGGGGGAGAGGAGGAGAGGAGAGGAGAAGAGATGAGAGGAGAGGAGGGGAGACGCGGGACGGTGCTCATTCAAAACAAGGACCCCAACAAGGACCCAACACCACAGGCAGGACGGTTGGGAGCAAGAACTCGGTTGAGAGCAAAAAGAAAGCCCCCGCAAGCGAGAGCTAACATGTTTTCCACGAGGACTCCAGTGGCTTCATCGTTGTCGAAGAGCTGGTCGAGGCGCTGCACATGTGCGGCCTGAAAGCCCACCCCAAGGCCGTAGAGAGGATCATCTTGGACATGGACAAAAACAACGACGGTGACATCGACATCGTCGAGTTCTGCGAGTTCTTTAGGTTCTCATCCACTCCCCACCCTCATCATCCCTCTTCTCCGCCCCCTCCTCCCCTCCGAGGCAGCTGGAGGAGCTCTCGCAGTTCCACCACAAGGCGGGGCGATCAGAAACACGTGCCGGCCCTTTGCGGACACGGCACGGGTCTTGGTGCAGAGGGAGGGGAGGGGAGGTGGCTTTCGTGCGCGTCTGCGTGGGCAGGAGGGGTGGGGAGGGGAGGAGCGGGAGGGGGTGGGAGGGGGGAGGGGAGGGGTGGGAGCTGGGGATCAGGAGGAGCAGGAGTGAGGAGGTACCGGGGGCCGCCCGATCGGAAGGCGAAGGCGCGCGCGCAGTTTTGCAGCATCCTCTGCAACTGCTGCTTCTTCCTGAACCTGGCGCTCGTCTTTGTCCTCATCCCGAGGCCTCTGGCACCTACCGTTGCCCCCCTCCCAACATCCAGGAGCCGCGAACAAAAAAGTATGGCGGCAACTATGTTTCGCAGTTTCGGCATCCAGGGACTACTTTCAGGCTAGAGGTGCCTGCCAAAACCACCGCCAGAGATCTGAGCACGTTGGCGGGGCGACCCCACGCCGCCCCGCGGCGCACGTCCCCGGCCGGCGCCCCGGGCCCACCAACGCAACCGATATGTTCGACTCTAGTTCGGCTCTGGCTCGACTCGAGTTCGACTCGAGCCGCCTGACGCTCGACGCAGCATCGGCGCATGAGTGAAGCGAGTGGCCCTGCGACGACACAGCTGCCCAGGAATGGGGCGCGCGGGGAGCTCTGGGGGCCCACGCGGCAAGACCACAGCGTCGGACGTCCGTGGCGTCAGCACAGCTGTCACGCGGGCGAATCATCACCCCAGCTCCAGAGAGCCCCCCCCCCTCCCCATGCTCTTCGCGGGCGGGCTCCTCCTCCTCCTCCTCCTCCTCCTCCTCCTCCTCCTCCTCCTCCTCCTCCTCCTCCTCCCGCCTCCTTCTTCTCCTCCTCCCCCATCCTCCTCCATGGGGTCGGAGCAGATGGGGTCAGAGGATCGCGCCGCATCGCCGGTGCATCGGCGATGCGGCTCGATGTGGAGCCCGAGTTTCTCCACGCCGACGTCGCCGCCGCGTCCCCGACGGCGACGATACACATCGCCGATGTATCGGCGATGCGGCGCGATTCTCCGAGCCCATCTGCTCCGACCCCATCTTGGAGGCCCCTGGGAAGAGCGGCATGAGAGCGCCGCTCTCGTCGTGCTGGCAGGCCGCGCCCCGGGGCTGGGCGCAGTGCTGCGTCGGCCCGCTGCAGTCCAGTCGCTCCTCTTCCCCCCTTCGAGCGAGCGCAGCGCGAACAGGAGGAGGAGGAGGAGGAGGAGGAGGAAAAGGAGGAGGAGGAGGAAGAGATGAAGAAGGCGGCTCTCCGTCGTGAGGCCGGAAGCCGGCATGGAGGAGAGCGGGCAGTGGACGAGCAGGCAGGAGTCACCAGCACGCGCAGAGGGCCGCTTCCGCAAAGCGCGGTCGAGAGCGCGCGGCGTGACAAGCGGTGGTGCGGTCCGTCCCCCGGTCTCCCGCGACGGGCCCGGCGCAGGCCTCGTGTGCCCCTCGTTTCGGCTTGCACGTGAGAGTGGCCTTTCGCCAGGGTGAACTCTGGTGCGGGCCCCACGGGGCCCCGTGATCGCTGAATGCAATGCGAGGGCAGCGGCCTGCGCGCTGGGTGGTGTCCCCAAAGGGCCCCCACCCCCTTCAGGCCTTCACCAAAAAAGGTCACTCGTGCCTAGGGTCACTCTTGCATGTAGCCGATCGGTCGCCGAGAGCAGGTATTCTAAGACTTCCAGTTCCCGATCTGCTTCAAGCGCCTTCCTATTTCAGAACATCGAGCGCCTCCTTCTCGCTTCCAGTTCGGGGAGCGGGCCGCAGCCCAGTCTGCTTTCAGCGCCTTTCTGCTTCATGTTTCTACATACTTCTTTCGAATGGCGGGTACTCGTCAGGGACCTGCAGCTCGTTCTCTTCTACAATGGAAGCGCGCCGTCTTGGCGCGAGAGGGAAGGAGGACAGAGATGGAGGGAGAGAGGGATTTGCCTGGGCGCCTGAGGGGGCCAGCGGATCTTGTTGTTCGTGGACATGGAAGAGAGCGATGACCCAGGGAAGCAAAAATACGTACCTTGGCGACACGATGCCCCGTTTTGCAATAGTCGTTTACGTGTGGCGGGGGCGAAGGCGCTGCAGGAGGAGGATACGAAAGAGGAGGATGGAGAGGGGGAGAGGGGGGGGGGGAAACTGGGAGGATACATGGCTTGAGGGAGGGAGGGAGAGAGGGAGGGAGCGAGAGGTACACATACATACATACATACATACATACATGCATGCATGCAGGCAGGCAGGCAGGCAGGCAGACAGGCATGCATGCATGCATGCATGCATACATACATACATACATATACATATACATATACATATACATATACATATACATATACATATACATATACATATATATATATATATATATATATATATATATATAAAAACATATATATGTGCGGCGTACCCCCCCCCCAAACACCCGTTCTGTTTGAATATGTATTTGAGCTCTTCATTCGTAGTCTTACTGATCATCAACCTTTTTTCGTCCGTGTCTTCTCGTCCATCTCTCCTATTCGCCATTGTCCCGTTGTTATCTACTTGAAATCAGCTGGATCTGGGATCTGCTCCATTCCAATACAATTCTCACTAGAATTGAACACAGCTGGATCTGGGATGTGCGCCGTTCTAGTTAGATTCTAATCAAATTTTAATCGGAATCGAGGTGGAATCAGACGACTCTGGAATATGCTCAATGCTAATTAGATTATAATTCTATTCCAGGAAGAATCCAAGTGAAATCAGCTGGATCTGGGATCTGCCCAATTCGACTAAGATCTTAATCCGATTCCAATGGGAATCCCATTGGGATATGTATCTGGAATCTGCTCCATTCCAATACGAGTCCAAGTCGATTCCAATAGGAATCACATTGGAATCAGCTGTTTTGGGAACCGGCGCGACTCCAATTATATTCAAATTAGATTTCAATAGGGATCAAATTTGACTCAGCTGGATATGTGATCTGTCCAGTTCCAATGTGATTCTGAGTATGTTCCAATAGTAATCCAAGTGGACGCAGCTGGATCTGGGATGTGCCCAACTCCAGCTTAGTTTGAAGTATACTCCAATTGGACTCAACTTAGAAGCAGCTAGATCTGGGATCTGCTCCATTGCAAGTAGATGTCAATAACATCACAATTGGAATACGATTGGAATGAGCTGGATCTAGGATATGTTCCATTCCTATTCGATTATGATTCGAGTCCGAATGGAATCAAATGATGATCAATTGAATCAGGGATCTGCTTTATTCCAAGTAAAACCGGATGGTAATACAATTGTAGTCCGTTGGGCTTGGGACGGCCTGTCCGCTTCCAATTAATTTCTAAGTAGATCCCATCAGGAATCAAATTGTAATCAGCTGGATGTGGGATCTGCTCCATCTCAATTAGATCCGAATTAGGGGACACTAGGAATCTATTTGGAATCAGCTGGATCAGGAGTTTGCGTAATTCGAACGAGATTCTAAGCATACTCCAATAAGACTCGACTTGGAATCAGCTGGATCTGGGATCCAGTCCATCACAATTAGCTCTAAAAAAGATTTAAAGTTTGATGCGATTTAGATTAGCTGGATCAAGGACCCGCTCAATTCCAAGTGGAGTCTCATTCGATCCCCACATGAATCACCAGGTGGATCTGGGATCTGCTCCATTCCAGCTAGGTTCCAAGTAGATTCCCATCGGAATCCAATCTAAATCAGCTGAATCGAGGACCTGCTCCATTCCAATTCGATTACATTGGGTCCCAATGGAAATCGAATTGGAATCGGCTGAGTCTGGGATCTGCTCCGCCCCAATGAGGTTCCATGTACATTCCAAGTGGAATCTACTTGTAGTCAGGTGGATGTTGAACCTGTTCAATTCCAATTGGGTTCTCGTCGGGTGAGGAGGGGATGAATCCCAGGCACCCAAAACCATCCCTGTGAAAACGCAAGGTTCGCGACGCCAGGGGTGTTGGATGTTCGGGATTTCTGGGATGAGAATCCTGGAAACCATGCGTTTTCATTTGGATGGTTTGGGTTCTTGGGGTTTTCTGGTTTCCCGACGAAAACCCACCCAGGAGGCCCCCGGGGCTCCGAACTCCAAAAGTCCCCAAAACAATTGAAACATGCAGCACAGGGTTCCAGGGATCCTCACCCCAGAAATCCCCAGCATCCACATGAATGTTTATGGTTTTTGAGCACCCTGACGTCGCGAAACCTGTGAATTCATTTGGACGTTTGAAATTCGACGCCCTAAGGGGGCTCCTGTGCGGATTTGTTTGGAGGACAGAAAGCCCAAAAAACCAGACAAACAATTCAAATGGAGGTGTAGGGTTTCTGGGGCTCTCACCCCAGAGTCAAATCAGCCTGGCGAAGGACCCAACCATATGCAGTTGTGACTACCGCAATCGTGAATATCATCTTTGCCCGCGCTCCCTATGGGGCCACGGACCGTGCGAGGGGCGTGCCGACATCCGTGGTGAGGCACACAACGCGAACGAAGACGATAGGTCTGCGTGCGAGAGACTGAGAGCGGGTGAGTCTGAGCGCGAGTGAGTCTGATTGTGAATGAGTCTTCGCGCGCGTGAGTCTGCGTGCATAACTGTCAACGCCCATGCCGGCACGCCTCTCACGAGGATCGCGCCCGTTTCCTTCCCGTTAGTTTTTTTGCTTCTCGCCCGTGCACGCCAATGTCCAAGGCTGCGGGCGCGGCGCAGCACGGAGCAGAGACAGCTAGCTGGCTGGCTGATATCGGGCACGGCTCTGGCCGCTGGGCAGAGCGACGACGGGGGCGAGCGAGGCGCTGGGTAGAGCGCAGCATAGAGTTCCCGCGACGCGCGCTGGTCGCTCCGGGAGGGTCCCAGCGACGCGCGCGGGTTGCCCGCGGCGCGAGGCCAAACAGTCAGATGATCGAGAGACGGCGAGGATCGGGCGGGCGGCTCTCCCCATGGGGCCACGAAACGTGCGAGGGGTGCGCCAAAACGGGGCGGGGATGCCATGCGAGTTCCGCCACTGGGACATTAGGTGGAGCTCCTTATGAGGCCACGAAACGTATGAGGGATGTGCCAATACTGGGTGGGGGGGGATGCCATGCGAGTTCAGCCACTGGGACCTTAGGTGGAGCTCCCTAAGGCGCCACGAAACGTGTGAGGGGCGTGCCAGAATGGGGCGGGATGCCATGCGAGTCCCGCCACTGATCTCTGTGGGGCCACGAAACGTGTGAGGGGTGTGCCAAAGTGGGGCGGGAATGCCATGCGAGTTCCGCCACTGGGACTTTAGGTGGAGCTCCTTATGCGACCACGAAACGTGCGAGGGGTGCGCCAAAATGGGG